CATATTCCTCAATAAGCATATATTTGTAACCAGTATGCGTGACTACAAGGGACTATGGATTACATCACTGTACTCATTTCAGGTGGAAAATGAATTAGCTACGCTAAATGTGACTCACGTCGTTTGCGTTACGGGTAGAACTCATGGAAATGGGATCAACACCATTGAGTACCTTGAAGGTGGTTCGGATCGCACTTATGAGAATGTCCGCGATAACTTGTATAGGTAAGTTTAAACCTTCATTCTGTGAATAATTAACCTTCTTGTTTAAAACTTACGATCTATAGTGGTTCAAATTGACAGGCAGGATGAAAGATAAGAGCTTAGAAACGAAAATAATTTATGGGAATATAAGTAAATAAAGATTAAATTTAGATAAGGATACATCAAGTATTATGTTTCCGTTTTGTAGCCTCAAAGAATTCATTTTTTAACAGTTTGACTTAATCTTCCATTCTTAATCTCATTTTGGTAATATAATCATATGAGGAAAACAACTCAGGATTTTCAAGCAAAAAAAAAAATTTCTTTGAAATATTCTTTCCAGTGCCACAGTCCTTGCACATCTATGTCGCAAGCTAGGAATCCATTTTACATATGTTGGAACTGGCTACATTTTCGCTTACGATGCTAAACATCCTATTGGTGGTAAAGGCTTCACAGAAGAAGGTACTGGCTATACTGTAACCGTTTCTGATAGTAAAGAAAAGATGAAAACCTATTTGCAGACACAACTACGTTCTTTGGCTCATCCTATTCCGTCGTGAAAGGCTTCACTGACCGACAAATGTCCTACTTCAACGATAAGGGTTGGGAGAATATCAACGCAAGGATTACGCTACCACTCACATATGAGTTGGATCAACCGAGAAATCTGCTCTCAAAGATCATCAACTACAAGTTAGAAATTCTTTGTTTTTATGAAAGTGAAGTTGATGGATCAATTTGTTATAAACTGGCGTCGTTGCGTCATTTTTGTCTGGAAAATATTGCTTGCTGCTCTGATACATTGCAATTATGCTAAATTCAAACTTAT